GGGGGGGGGGGGGAGGTACGTAATAATTGAAAATATGAACTACAAAATATGTTCCTTAACAACTAATTTACAAAGAAATATAATACCGAATCAGAAAGCAAAAAAACCAAAACACTGGTCATGCTGTACCAATCAAGTTGCAGAATTCAAAAAAGGCGGCAACTCAAGCAGAGAAGAATAGATGAATATCATACCACTCTTTTAAGTTGATTTTTCCCAATAAAAGAAAAAAATAAAATAAAATAATTTTAATATTTTCTATGATTTGGATTTGTAGTTATTTATCACGTGACCATTTCGATAAAAATATAAAAGAGCAATGAGACTCCGTGGCCTATGCAACTGATAATAGAGGATAACGGAATGCTGCTATCTTGTGATGAGAGAAAATTGATGCATATCCCGATAATCTTACATAAACAATTTGTGTTTTGTTTATCAACATTCCTACTCTAGATTGTTATAATAATCATGAGCATGCCATATGAAGCAAATGCTACACGAAACCATCAAAAGATCATTCAAAATTGATTTACAGCATTCAATTTGTAGTTTTATTCAATTTGTAGGAATACAAATGTTGTCACATTCTCCTTCTATTAAATCTGTCAAGAAACCCCCGAAGGTATAAGTTGAGTTTTAAAAACTTTTTAAAAATTGTATTCACTTGTCAATAACTTGAAAGGGATCTTTGGAATGTTGACAAGAGAGAGTGTAGGCCTATACAGCTCCATATTAAAAAAAAACTAGCATTTGAATTAAAGACAATAAACCTTTGTCCGCTAAGCCCCGCCCCTTGGATATTGTTGCTAAGGTCCGATAAAACGATCGACAGTGTGTTCAAATACACGCAAACACGTGCGTTTGTCGGACAACACGTGTTTGTTTTGCGTCTTCCTGGCCGTGTTCTGATTGGTCATTTGTTAAGTTTGATTGAAACTCCGGAAAGGTCCATTCTTCATGGGGTAGAGGAAGCGCAAACAAGTTTATAAGTTTATCAATTACAATAACAAGGGAGTGGGAGAGTTTGGTAAAGGCTGCTCCCTATGGGCGAAAAATCCCATGTTGCCCCACAGGTACAAACGACCCAAAATCCTGAATATTCAGGTTCAGATGTTTTGGAGTCAAAACATATTTTTGAATGAGGATCCCAAAATATTGTAGAACCCTTTTTGTGGGACACTCCTAATTGGACACTTTTTCAGCCACAAAAATATCTTTCAACGCGACAATCAACCCCTAGTGAACTTTTTTCAGCCACGAACATATTTTTAATGCGACAACCAACATCTATTAAGTGGACACCCCTATTAAAGGGGTACTTTTTCAGCAATGAAATGAAGGAAAGTATGTTTTATCACCAACCCATTAAGGGGACACTTTTTAGGTCCTGGTGTCTCCTTAATAGGGGTTCTATGTACTTTTTAAGCTATAGATGATTGATATTTTAAATATGGACTTTTTGCCCTGTGGTTTTAATTCTTTTATCAACCAGAATACATGCGGTGAGTGATGGTTGGCACGAACGTTAGAAATTAAATAAAAATGCCAACCATTTGACCCAGATTTCAAAATGTCACAGTATACTTTGCCAAATTTTTGTTGGCTTCATTACCATGCCAGAGGACAGGGGCAGTTGGCATACAATTGGGGGAGGGGGAGGGGTGGTGCAGGAAAAGAGCGTTTGTGGGGAGCTAAAGCGTAGCACATAAATATTGAGTTTCATCAGAACTTTAATAGTCTTTGATCCAAATATTTTGGGGTGGTTTTGGTATATGACAGGGGTTTAATCAAAATGTGGTTACAGTCCTACAGCTGCTTTCATATGCTGCATTTGAATCCAAACTGATATTTGGACCGCATTTTCAATGCGCTGAGCGAAGCATCACTATTCTTATCTCGATCTCGATTTTCTAATCAGTTTGGTAGGCTTTTCGATCCCAAAATTTGGTGTAAAAGCACCTTGATGGTATCTGGTTTCACTAAAGGGATAACTACACCAGAGGTCCCAAGTCTCCTGGATATCGGGGCGGCCTCCCGCACTTCCGCAAGCAAGCAAGATTGCCCTGGCTATAAGATATAATAGAATAGACAGTATTCTCTTTCATGCATTTTATACTTCAACAACAAATAAATACAAGATAAACTAATTCAGTGTTCTTAGCATTTTTAATAGTCTCTTGACAATAACCACTCACATTTAGGTAGATTCAAGATGTACAGATTCTAATCTAATACTCACATACATTTTGGAATGTTATCACAAACAATATAAGTTTCAATGACAGGCACTTAAAGTGTAGAAAACAGCAAAATCAAGCAAACACTATTGATAATGGAATGTAGGTTAACAATAAGTTAAGAATATGAAAAATATTATAAAATAAATCAGAGTAAACTTTACACATGGTACATAAAAGAAATAAAAACATGAATTTTATATCTATCAATAGAAATATAATTCCAAGGTAAAAATTATTTCTGAACGTATGGTATTTTCATTATGGATATTGCCATAGAGCTGTCTCTTATACACATCTAGATGTGTATAAGAGACAGGTTTAGTACAGTACCGTAAATGCTCGAATAAGCGGCGCTGCACTTTCAAAATTTTTGGAGGTTTCAGTGCAGCGCTTATTTGAGAGCAGCGTTTATTCTAGAGTAAATTAGGCAGTTTACATACAGGTAATCCACAAAAGGCAGCATGCTGGGCTCCGGCACTTTCCACCAGAATAAGCCTGTGGTTCCACTACCGAAGGGGAATGGGAATTGGTTACATGCCTCCAGAACATTTTTTCACCCTCCTTCCCCCTTTGCCAAATGCACATTATGTTACATGATTACCATCCTCATTATGATTAATATTATTTGTACTTTCCTTCAATAGTCAAAGGTCAATGACACTCTTAAAAAGAGTGAGGAAGCACAGAAAAACATTGATGACAACATAAATTCATATGTTACTAATGTAAGTTTCATGAAATTTTCTTTTTTCATCATCAATTCCCATTGATGCCAACTGTCTCTATTTGTCACTCGTGTTCCTGTATGAGCCCCTATGTCACTTTAAATTGCTCAAGTAATCAATCATTCAATCAATCAATTAGTTAATTAAATTAGCCAATTAGTCCCCTGTTATTTTTTTCTTCGTAATATTTCAGTTACTACAATTTTCAATGTTAGGTTTCAAAGTTTGCAAATCACATGATGTAATCCACGTGTGTTCCTTAGATACATAACTCAATGAAAAAGACGATGAGACGTAAATGACTTGGTAGACTTAGAACACAAATTTTATTCAAAACATGAATATTTCAACCCGTCCCCTGCCTTAACCGCTCGGCCATTCAACTCCTTAGGTGGTTCAGAGCTATCATACATTTAGAACTTCAATCTCGTAGAAGTGTGCAGTATTAAAGCTGAACGGCTTGTATTCAGATACTTTATGAATGTCATCTCGTTTTGTGGATTTCTGAAAAGTATTGCACCAGGTGTGATCGGAAGTCTTTGATCATTTCTTGACACGAACCACCTCAATTTGATCCAGTCATCCTACCATTCCATACTTTCTTTCATTCACTTCTTTCGTTCGATTGTGGCAAAATGCCAGTCACAGGACAAAAAAATGTGGCCTCTCATAGGCAGATGATGTTCAATTGACTTACATATGCCAAGCTTTACCAATGTGAATAAAAGCTGTACAAGACTATGATTGTGATTTTGACCACGGCATCCGTCAAAGTAAATCCTGATCTTTTTTACACCGACAGATAATTTGTGTGTAAAATAGTGGTATAGTCATAAAATAACTTCACTGGCGCCTCATTCGCTGTCATCTCCGGATACCTGTACATGATCAATGACTTTGATTTGCTGCTGTGGATGCAAAAGTCATAAAGCCATAACTGACGCATATAGAATATTTCACCGACGCGGAAGTGTGGAAAGGGGATGTTCTGTAGGAAATATGTCTACTTCCTCATCATATTCGGCAAGTTTGGAGTCCTCCTTCAATTTATCATAGAATGCCTTAGCCTTCCATTTATGGAGCTCCATCTCGGTCTTTAGTCCTCTCATTGTTGTTTCATTTTTCTCAAGACTTATCTTCACCTTCAATTCAGTAAATTTGCCACAAACATCGGTCTTTGTCTCGCAAAACCATAATTGAAATGTTCTTTAGAGCAATTGTAATAAGGCTGATGCCTGATGTCACATTCTACCGGCTCTGGATGCTTTCAACTTTTTTTAACTTCAACATAAACCTCTGGAAACTCCTTCTCTAAAAACTGTACAGTACATAAAATGTCAAACTAAAAAAAAGGTAAATATTTTCTTACCATCCTTTTAACAAATCTTAGAAGGATCTTTTGCTTCTTAACATCCACATGGCGTAGGGCTGCTGCAATGTTATCCATATTCTTGACGGACATGGCATCTTGATACTCACCACCGTACAGCTGAGCCAAAAGTGATAGGCAGTTACAAACCAATACTTGGCTATCATTCTCACACAGGCAAATCTTTGATAGAGAAGAAAATTAGAAAAATATTGGTTATGTTTTGTGTTCAGCCAAGCATATGCAGCATCGGCCCAAACTGTAGATTAGCTGTAGTTGCACTCGTCATAATGACAACTTGGTGGTGTTGCTCAGTGACAACTTGGTATTAAATGGTTTTGTGATGTCAGTGACATAGTGCTGTATAGTAACTTGTAATGTATATAAACCCTCAAAAAGGTACACAAGACGAGCTGCTAAGAATTAAACTAGTGCTGCCAACTGAGGTACGATATGCAGCATTCTGTTTTCATGTATCAGATAGATAAATACACTGAAGGCCTTGGAACTTATAGGCGAGCAGATTATGGCCAAAAAGTCCTCTAAAAATCGTCGAGGTGGCAATGGAAGTACTACCGGCTAATTTTGATATTTTCTGAAAATATAGGTCTTGAGAAGTTTAGAACTCAAAATTACCCAAAATCCCTTTGGGGGAACACCTCCAAATTACGCATTCAAAATGGCCGCCATTTTTCCGCTTTAAATTATAGTTTTAGCTAACTTATATAAAAAATAACATCACTCGAATAATCATCATCAACAATTGGTGAAACTTACTCAAAATATTCTTTAATTATCGAAAATGAATCTTGCGTTAAGAAAAACTACAATTTCAATCACCATAGCAACCGTTGCTATGCAAATTTAAATTTCCTATTTTATTCATGAAATTTAAGTATACCGGAAGATTGAAGTTTATTAAATTCTTTATTTTCATAGGTTTTATGAATATGTTAAATATCTGAATTATCTATTATTATCGTAGAATAGGATTATGTAAAAAAATGCTGAAACTTTAATATAATTGCATAGCAACACTCTTTTTATCGTCCATAGCAACGAAGCAAAATCAGCAGAATTGCTGTACATTTGTCATTGACCAAGCAAAAATCATGAGATACAATATATTTATATAATAAACATCTCTTATTGAACAAAGTTAACACATTGATGTATAAAATACAAGGTCATCACCATAGCAACTGTTGCTATGCAAATTTGAATTTCTTATTTTTTCATAAAATAATTATATAATGAAGACCTAAAGTATAGTAATAAATTAGTATAGGATGTATGAAAAAATGTTTAATAAATATCCTAAGATAACACAATTTAGTATGAAAGCAAGGTCATCACCATAGCAACTGTTGCTAATTGAAATATCCTATTTTTTTTGTAAATAATTAAAATGAAAACCTGAAATTTATTAATATAATTAAAGGTTTCGTGAGAGATGTTCAGTAAATATTAATATTGTAAGATAACATAAATGAAAGATAACATTTTAATGTGAATACAATATATATACTTATCGCCATAGCAATGAATAAAAATCACTAGAATTGCTGTTTATTTGGCTTTACATTTTTTTAAATAACACATGGTCTTAGGTAATCATATAGCAACCATTGCTAGCAAACTTAATGAAAACTTGTAAGTTTAATTAAAAATATTTATTAAATGTTTATTAATATTTATTTCATTTTATCAGACCAACAGTGAATCATTACCACTAAAATATATAAAACTTAAATACCATAGGAGAACATTAATAATCAATTTCAAATATAATTTCATATATTGCATCACAATATGGTTTTAAATTTCCATATAAAATAATTTTGGAATTTTATGCAGTGGTTTGTAGAACAAAACGTCATTACCATAACAACCATTTCTACGCACACTTTAATTAATATCATAAGATAAAATTCAGTTATAATACAACTCAAAATAATTCCACAATCATTTATGATTAAACAAATTATGAAACAGTGGTGTAGAAAAATACAGTGTCCTCACTATGGTAACAATCACTATATAGACTGAGACTAAACATTAGTTTAGGGACTTAAGATTTGATCAACATATCTTCCCATTTTTCTTTCATTTTGCATCAAGCCATCTGTTTTAAATTTATATGAAGCATTGTACAATGGTTTTCTTTCTTGACTTAAAATATCTTCATACATTCTGATAACATACTGTATATTTTATAATATACATGCATATCTTCCCAAATTTCTCTTATTTTGTTCACATCTTGTTGGAAACTCTACTTTGATACCTATGTCTTAATTATGTCCTCTTTTTAGTTTTTCAATTTCATGTCATGTCTTTTAATTCATAAACATCATAGCCCATTCCACCATCAGATTCTTCCTCTAATTAAATCGTATTAAATCTGTCACCTGCCACTACTGTAGCAACTCTAAATATTCAAATGATGGGATTGGATTGGATTTATTCGGTGTAAAGGATAGCCCACGAAAGTCTAGAAGAAGGCTTATTTCCAGTGGGGTCCTTCTGGTGGCAGGGCCGTCGGAACCGCGAAAAAAAAAAA